GGAGTCCAGACCCCCAGCCCCTCCTCCCTCAGACCCGGGAGTCCAGACCCCCAGCTCCTCCTCCCTCAGACCCGGGAGTCCAGATCCCCAGTCCCTCCTCCCTCAGACCCAGGAGTCCAGGCCCCCAGTCCCTCCTTCCTGGACCCAGAAGTTGAAACCTCCATCGACTCCCCCTCAACTTTGAGACTGAGGAGTCAGGTCCCCAAGTCCACCCCAGGGCTGGAAACCTGGAGTTCAGGGCCCAGACTTTGGGGTCCGGGAGCTGACGGCCCGTCTCTCCCGGCTCCGCCCGCAGACTCTAGCTCCTCCGACTACACTCGGGGGAACCTTGTCCGCCTGGGGCTGGCCGGTCTGGTCCTCATCTCCCTGGGCGCACTGGTCACTTTTGACTGGCGCAGCCAGAGCCGCGCTCCTGCTGGTGTCCGCCCTTGAGCCCCAGGGGCACTGCAACGCGAGAAGACTTCCAACCTGAGTGGTGGAGAGGCTGGGACCCTGGGCTGGACTGTCCTTTTCTGCAGCCCCGCAGCCCTGCTGGCTGAGCCCCGAGGAACTGCCCTTCGACACCCCCGTGCCCTGTGCTGTGGCTTCTTTCCGGGCCTTTCCCAAGGAGTAGCTGAGTGGAAGACGCAATCAGTGGTTAAGACTTCCAAGCCAGAAGACAGAGGGTTCGAATCCCAGCGCTGCCGTCTACTCACTGTGGTAGTAGTAGCAGCTATAGAGGGGTAGCAGTGAGAGGGGAAGCCAGCTGGACCTCCTGGGCCGAGTGGAAGCTTGGAGAACTTTTCTGTCTTACAAGAGGATTGTAAAATGGACCAATCAGCGCTCTGTAAAGTGGACCAATCAGCAGGACATGGGCGGGGACAAATAAGGGAATAAAAACTAGCCAGCAGCGGCACCCTGCTCGGGTCCCCTTCCAGGCTGTGGAAGCTGTGTTCTCTTGCTCTTCACAATAAATTTTGCTGCTGCTCACTCTTGGGTCCATGCCATCTTTAAGAGCTGTGACACTCACTGGGAAGGTCTGCGGCTGCATTCTTGAAGCCAGCCAGACCACAAACCCACTGGAAGGAACCAGCTCCGGAGGCGGTGGCAGCATTGAGAAAGCACCCTTCCCAACTCTCTCTCGCCTGGACGGTGAAATGGATGCACTGATAAAACCCATTTCATAGGATTGTTGTAGGATTCAGTGGGTAATACATATAAAACATTTAAAACAGTAACTGGCCCGTAGTAAGTGCTCAATGAATGTGAGTTACCCTATTACACCGATTTCTACCAGACTCATTGCCGAAAAGAGGGTCTCACCTTTTTTCCATCAAGCATAATCAAGCACAACTTTTTTTTTTTTTTGAGAGAAGATCTCACTCCATCACCCAGGCTGGAGTGCAGTGACGTGATCTCGGTTCACTGCAACCTCCACATCCCGGGTACAAGTGATTCTCGTGCCTCAGCCTCCTGAGTAGCTGGGATTACGGGTGTGCACCACCACGCCCAGCTAAGTTTTGCATTTTTAATAGAGATGGAGTTTAGCCATATTGGCCAGGGTTGTCTCAAACTCCTGACCTCAAGTGATCCACCGGCCTCGGTCTCCCAAAGTGCTGGGATTACAGGCCTGAGCCACCGCCCCCCTTCACTTTGCCTTTCCTTGCCTTGACTGGGCCTTCCTCTTTTGCCCAGGCTAGATTGCAGTGGCATGATCAAGGCTCACTGCTGCATCGACCTCCCAGGCTTAAGTGATCTCCCCACCTCAGCCTCCCAAGTAGCTAGAACCACAGGTGCAGGCCACCGTACCTGGCTGATTTATTATTATTATTATTTGTAGAGGTCTCTGTATGTTGGTCAGGCTGATTTCCAACTACTGAGGTCAAATGATCCTCCTGCCTCTGCCTCCTGAAGTGTGGGGATTATAGGCATGAGCCATCCAGACAGGTTCATTTCCCCTTTTCTTGACTTGTGCCCCCATTTTGGTGGAGCACACACCTTCTTCTATTTGTATTGTTTTTCAACTTCCCGTTCCCCTTTTCCCACTTTATGGAGAAGACAGTGACTTCTAATGCTTGGACAGCCCAGCTGTACCATGCTGGGCAAACCGGAGCAGTGTACCGACC